TCTAGTAAGTGTTTAACTAGTCGGAAACGTCGCGCTGTTTCTTGTCGTTTCAGACTGGTATGAGGATTCCAAGTTAGACGTTTGTCCAGGTGGAGTCCTAGGTTCTCAGATTTAATTTCATTTATAGGTCTCTACTTAGATGTATGGCTGTTGTGATAATTACAAAATACTATATATTTACTTATGGCAGAGGTAAAACTGATTTTATGTTATGTATACTACTCAGTCAGTGATTTATACCCTCTCCTACCGTCGATATAGATGATAAATCTGCTCCCCACCTCGCCTTCCACACACATTTCGTTGTCATAATAATATTTAATACATGTATTACTAATAATACTAATACTAATATACTAATAATGGTATTATAAAATTGACTCTGCATAGAAATTTAATCTCTACAATTTTTTTGTCTACAAAAAATGTATTTGCGTCTGTCAAATTATTGTTGACAATCAGAAAATATGATGGCGATACAGGAAATATTGACATGAAAGACATGGCAGTACCTCTTCCCTAACTTGTTCCAATTACTTAGGTCGTTTAAGGAAGGAGATATCTCATTCTAAGCCTTTTTAGTCTCCCCCTCGTGTTCTGAGGTATGGCAGTTGTGGCCATGTCTCTTATTAGTCTGTTATTATGCCCGTTGAATTAGTGTAAAATCGTCGATGAAGAGTCGTTATATGTTCGTCAACTGTTTGGAAGAGGAGGTCGGTATGTAAAGTTTTGTTAGTCACGTATCAAGGTGCTTTTGTTATGAATCGCAATAATTTTGATTGGGAAGTTTGAAGTTTGTGTAAGTGAATCTTTTTAGCTATAGCGTATATCTATGAGGAATAAGTCCATATTGGTTTAAGTAAGTATAGGTGTGTATTTAGTTTCTCTCTCAGTTTTAGTTTTGAAGATTTAGCAAAAAGTGAGTAAAGTAATTTGAGTCATTTGTTAAGTGTCTTACATTTCGTATTAACATGCGGGTCCCATGTCTATGGAAGGTTGTCCGTTTGAGGAATTTGATTGTTGTCAATATAAACTGGAGGGCAGGTATTTTTTCGAAGATTAAAGGTTCGGATTTGTCATGATTAAGTCGAATTTTCCATAGTGTGAACCAATCTTGTAATTAATTAAGTGATGTTGTAGAAGCTAATGAGGCCTGTGTAGGGTCTTGATGTCATGTGAGAATTGATATTTCATCTGCGTTCGTTGTATTTAAATTTTTTTAAAAATGATAAATAAAAAAATGTTTTCTTCTCTTCCTCATATTTTCGAGAATAAAGGTTTTTCATGGACCATGGAGAAGAGCGGAGGATTATTGCCAGAATGAAAATTCCCGCGGCAGGAGGATTTGAACTCACAGACGCGCGTATACCCACTCCTGCCACCTCGGTCTCTATGTAAATATTGAGACTTTTAAAATGAGGAGATTGATGCAGTGAAGTATTTTATTATGATTACTAGCTTTACCTGGCCACGTGCTGCTGTGGCTTAGCCTGACAAAATGAAAAAGAAAGAAAATAGAAAGCACATATGAGTAGATTAGTAGCAAAGGACATCTGTCATTTTTAAAAAGTTGAGAAACAAATTTGTTTGTAAAATGGCTTCAATTGAAACTAATTCTAATTATTTATTTTCTCATGATTCAAATTGAACATTCATAATCATCTGAGTAAATACGCCGTCATTCATAATCAACAGAAACAGTCTCAGTTGAACTTATAAAACTAAATTGAAAAATTAATTTTAAAAACCAATAATAGTATTGACCTACATAAGGAGAATCATATAAATTCTTCAAATGATAATTTCAATTACTGTAGTAATTATAAAATTTTCGATTAATCAATAAAAACATAAAATGCTTGCCGACGTTCGGTACTGAGGAAGCAAAAGGAAACGGCCTTTTCTGAAGAGAAAGCAGTAAATGTTTAAAATCCAATAACTCTGCAACGAACCGTCCGATTTCGATGATTTTTTTTTATTTTGTCAGCAATTCAGAATCTTTCATATATATGGGTATTATCTGTCAAAATTGTGTACTTTTTTAGTTATCGTCAAATAAAATATTGAATTCATCATAAAATTTTTCAGCTTGTTTTCGGGAAAGTATGTTATACACATAAATTAAAAGGGTTTCAAGGGGAAGACTTTAGCCAAGTTTCGTTAAAATCGTTAAAGCCGTTTTGGCACTACAGTTTATAGCGACATATTTTTTGCAGCTTTGAATAGAAAAACATTTACATTTTTTATTTTGCATATATAAAATTATCTTAAGACAGAAGTGCTATGCCAGAAACCTTCCCAGGAGTGTACGGAACAACTTCCCAAAGTTTCATGGCGATCGGTTGATTGGTTTAGTAATGCATTAAGGACAAACAGACATACATTCATTTTTATATACACAGATATACATATTTATTTATTATCACCTTCAATGGTTACTCTATCCCGAATGGAGCATCAATACTAATCTTTCATGGTCTGAAACATTGTTGGAAGTCTTTTTCTTCAGTCATCTCCTTCAGGATGCTTTCATGGATGCTCACTTTCAGCAAAATGTGAATGTAACAATGATGATTAACAGTCTGACCTCCAGGAATCTGGTGAACGTGCTCAATCTCATGAATATCGAAATAAACAATCATCATTACGTTGAATTTTGATTTCCTCAATCCAGTTTTTTTTTTTGGTTCTTGTGGAAGTTGGGTTATTACTAGTACTCGCTATTGCAGTTAGTGTTGCTCAAATGCGAGACCGAGACGAATCTTGGTCTTGCAAACTCAGTCTTGGTCTTGCGTAAGAGTCTCGTAACAGTCTTGCAGGTACTTATTAGCTTATTACTACTAAGCCTAACTAAGCCCGAATGAAAAATTAGAGGAGTTAAATGCAAAAGTATATTGGTTAAAACAATTATTAACATATAGTAACTAAAATTGTCGAGTATTAGCAACTATTTTGCCTTATTTTTTATTAAAAAAATCATTTTTCCCTTACCAGTTCTGCTCTTGGTCTTGCAACAGTAGGCAGCTTTGATCTTGGTCTAGCAAAATGCAAGACCAAGACCAATTATGGGCAACGCTAATTGCAGTAATTGGCGATAAGTCTCAGTATTTTAGATCATAAGTAAAAAAAAAAAACACTATTCGTCAATCTACATTAAAAGAAACTAGATTTGAGTGTGGTGAAGCTGTGAATAAAAATGCGGAACGCTTTCTGAAGGAGAAGACTGAAGAAGATTTCCAGCACTGTTTCAAAGAAAGATTCGCAAGGAGCTTGTAGAATGTAGGAACAAATGAGGGGTGTATAGTGAAGGTGACAGTAAGTAAATATGTATGAAATCAAAATAAAATATTTTATACCATAAGTCTCGTTATTTAATAGCCACACGTCGTAAAATAACAAATGATTTTTTGTCTGCTAATGAGTTTTTTCTAGGATTACTCTATTTAAATTTGTCTGCCACTTTCCACACGATCGCTTCGAAGCACGAGGCTCTACGATGACTTATATTTCATAATTTACATTATAAAATCTGTAAAGTTTCGCTAACATCCTAATACAATTCACAAAAAAAAATTATAAATATAACTATAAATAATAAATAAGTCTAAATCGACTGGACAGCCCCAATGCTAGATTTATGCCCAAAAGCCATTTACAGTTCAATCAATCTAAAAAAAGGGGACCCTGATATATTGAAGCCATTCTTTGCATCTGTCAGTAGCATTCGCCCCACGTCATGAAAACCCCTTCACCAACTCCATGAAAGCGGCTTAAAGTTTCTTAGGAAACCGCGTTTTCATATATCGCTTCGGAGTTGGGCCTCCATTAATCAGATATCACATCAGATGTGGCAATATCTTAATGGAAATATGTATTTTTCTAATTTAAGAAACTCATATGACGTATCTTATTGAATTTTATATATTACAAATACAGGTTCCTGCAATATTGACGAATGATATATTCGCATTTGTTTTGGGTTTTCCTATTCATACAACAGAGAAGAAAAATACAAAATAACCATAACTTATTGATTTATTTTGTAATTGTATACAATGGGACAAAATATTTTTAAAAAAATTGAAATAATATGATTGACATTAAAAGCCTATAATTCAAGAATTATTATTAGCTTTGAGAGTTTAAAAAGCAAAAATATTGTTATATGAGTTGAATATTTAATTTATTATTTTCTATAATGCATTGCGTTTCCTCGAAATGTTAAAAAAATTAAATAAAATGTCTAGTAGTTTGAGGATCTTTTATATGATACTGTATACCTATACTACCTCAGCTTTGTTTATGAATAGGAAATCAGGAAATAAATAATAGTAATAAAAATTATTATCGCGCATTATGTACGATTTGCACGATAAAACGTGTATACATATCGCATCACCTGTAGCGCTTATATCTTACGAAGGAATATTAGATTATATTCTATATACGTTTTAAACTACTAATAAACAGTCATTTATTTTACACAAGAATATAATCAATACTTGTTTTTATTTTGACGTGTATATATTTTTATATTATTATTAACAATATCAAACAATCCAATTTTTTTTTTAAAACACAAACAAATTGTTGACAGCTTATTGGCTGTTAAACTCTATTACTGTTATTACTCTATTGCTGTTAAAAAAAATATCTAGGAAAACTGAACTAGAGAGTTTCTTAGTTCATGCTTTCGAATATTTTATATCACCTAATACATTTGAAATTTTAAGAAATATAACCCCTCTTCCTCTTTCTTCCTGACTTGATATTATATATATATATATATATATATATATATATATATATATATATATATATATATATATATATATATATATATATATATATATATATATATATATACATATATACATACACACACATATATTTTTTTATTTATAAGTTTTAATACAGTATATTTATTTTATTATCACATACATATACATATATATTCTGTCATGATTATGTAATTTTAATTAATTATAATTTATTTTTAGGGGCTACAAGACTCCATTTCTTACTACTTGATTCTCAAGACGGTGACCACTGATACATAGTTTTGAATAAATCATCATTTTGAAAAGTGTACCGTCGAAATTAAAACTTATAAAAATAAAGGAAATAGTATAAATAATTATGTTTTGTTATGTTCATTCCTTAATTCTTGTATGATATTTTTTTTAATCTATCTTTTTTATTGAGTAATATAAAATTCTGTCACAGTGAGGACAAGAGACACTGTGAGAAAAGAGTTCATTCAAAACATATTTAAAGCAAATATAAAAAATAATCATATGGAAAATAAAATTTATGTACCATAAGTAAATATATAATAAACTTGAAGAGAGGTTAAGTAAAATAACAGCTTAAACACAGCATGCACCTATATATTATTTTTATCTGCACAGTAATTTATTTCCATTCTTTTTCTTTAAAAAATAACTGAGAATTTCCGATATTTATTCATTTATTGCTGAAATGGAAACATATTACGATTATAATTAGATTTCATTTAAGGTTTGTTTAAGTTTTATATTTAGCATCGTTGAGTCCAGTCTAAAACAGTAGTGTTTTAAGTAGCATTAACTTATATAAGAGGATTATCAAAACAAGTCAACATAATTTAGTAAGTAGCTTTCAATTCCAGCCGACTTTGGGTAATATGAGGGTAAGTGGATACAAATGAAATATAATTCTCACAAATAATGCATACGTTTGTCTACAAATTTCAGGAATCATTTTAACTAGAGGGGTTTTAGTCTTAATTATTTACCTTTGCCTTACCTTTAAATAATGTTAAAGACCAATTAATTATACATTGATACACCTAGTTAAATCAAAGTCGTTAGAGCCGTTTTTAAAAAAATTGTAAAACCGTGGAAAATCAATGATATAAACGGCACTTTCGGTTTGCCGATTTTAAGGAAAAAGTTGCTGTAGCATCTGAGGTATATACTGAATTTAAATACATATTTTCAGTTTCATACGACTTCGATTTTAAGCTAGGCTCTTCACACACATTCGCATACCATTTTGTGGGACTTGGTAATCTGGACTCATGGGACCTCAAAAGGTGTATTTCCGTTCAAAACTTAGATTCCATAATGTTCACTATCGCAGGATTTTCCCTTACTATAAATTACATATATAGGTGAGTTAAAGTAAAGATATTAATAGTATAACTATGTTAAAAAATAATTATTATTAAATATTAAAAATAATAATTAATTGCTCATATAATTTTATATTGTATATTAGGTCCAAAATGTCGATCATTTAAATAAATTGAAGCTATAAATTCCAAAACCATCTTTTCCCCTGAAATTTCACAATTCAATATTTATATTGGCACCCAAAGAAGAAATTTCACATTCTGAAAGATTTTTCTTTTTTTAGTGAAGATATTTCTTTGATGTGGAATATTTAAATCTTCGAGATTTTCTAAGGGTACATATTACCAAATAAAGTTTATAATATCGAGGAAAACAAATATATTAACCATTGTGCATTTTCGATTCTTTGAGATGTTGAAATGAATTAAAATATTAATATAATGCATAAAGTTAAAATAATGTATATTTTACACATAATATACATACACATAATATACAATTTGACATGTAATAAATAATGTTGGCTGAAGACTTCCATTGAAGTCCTATACTGCAAAAAAATTCATATTATTTTATTTTATTATTTATTTTCGAGGATAGCCTTATACGAATTGAGTGGGATTCAACTCCACATACTGTATAGTAGAACATAGTACTATGTTTTGTACACGTTATTAGCCAATTATTTTCAATCAATTCATTGATTTCATATTCTATCTTTTTTCACCTTAGAGCATTAAAAAGATTTTCTTAATTAAATCTTGAATTTTTCAACGGTTGGGCAGCACTATGTTGACATAATAAATAAATTAGTATTTTAATTAAATTTAAGCAATTTAAATAATCATTCAGCAAAATTATTAGAAATATAAAATTTAAAGTATTAAAATAGTTGTTTGTTTGTTTCGATGTCTAGGCGCAAAACATCCAGGTCATAAGCGCCCGATCAACTAAATAACATCAGTTAATACTACTTGGATGATTGGTACAAAAAAATAATAATAATAATAAAAAAAAAAATAAAATAAATAAAGAAATGGATTGATAGAATAAAATAAATAAATAAGGATAATAATAGACATTTATAGGTAATAAGATGTATAAATAAATAAACTTTAAAAAATAGCAGTAGAATCAATAAATGAATTGAGATTAATAAACAAATGAATTTAAAATGAAATGAAATCAAGTGAAAAAAAAATAATAGTAAGAGAAAATATAATAAAAATAAATAGATAAAAAGAAAATTACTAAATAAAAAATAAAATAAAAAAAGCCTGTCAAATGTGTTTTTTAAGTCTTTCACTATCCAGAAACTTGATGACTTTGGTAACTATTTCTTCTTGATTTCCCAGGGATGCTGATATATTCTGGGGTAATCCAAAATCTTTTAATCTTGCGGTGTAAAAAGGGCATTCTTCCAAAATATGTTTTATAGTTAGTGATTGGTTACACTTTTGACATCGGGGGATAGAATCTTTTGTTATGAGGTGGAGGTGAGTCAGTCTAGTATGTCCGATCCTCAGCCTCGTGAGGACGACCTCTTCTCTACGACTGCTGCGTCTGGAGCTGGTCCACGGTTGCACCTCTTTCTTTATTGTTTTTAATTTGCTAGGTGCGCATTTGCTAGGTGCGCTGTTGTCCCATCGTCTTTGCCATTCTTGGAATATGGTTTCTCTCAGAGGTCGTGCAAGTTCAGATGGTGTCAAAATAACTTTACCGCGGCCCGGAAGAGTAAGAGCTTCCTTTGCTGCTCTATCAGCCATTTCATTTCCTTTAATTCCTATATGGCCAGGCGACCAGATAAAATGTGCCGTTGTTCCAACTCCATGAAGCATTTTTATAAGACTTAGAATGCAGTGTATCCCTGGATGGTCTGGATACATGTTATTCATAGCTTTCAGAGTACTTAAGGAATCCGATACAACAACCACATTTGTAACTGGCTTCTTTATGACGTATCGGAGACTCATTGCTACGGCGTTAATCTCTGCTGTGTAAACACTACAAAGATGGTGTAATTTATATTTGTAGGTAGTATCAGGAGTGACAAAGGCTGAAGCAGTAGATGTATCTGATTTGGATCCGTCGGTGAATATTAGAAGATGTTCAGGTAACGTGATGATTATTTTGTGGAATTTTTCTTTGTAATCTGCAGGTAATGTAGTATCTTTGGTGAATTGGGTGAGTTGGAGATAGGTTGTATATAGGTCCAAGGGGCTGTTTCTTTTTCTATTTCATGTAATGTTATTTGTTTTAGTTTATTTATAATAAGAGACATTCTTTCTGCCAATGGTAATGTGGTATTCCTTTTTTCTTTAAATCTTTTTGAGAATTTAGATTGAAAAACATATTTATGGGAGGGGTGTGAAGTTTGTGGGTATAATTTAGTAATATAGTTTATTGCAAGTTTCTGTCTTCTAAAGTGCAGTGGTATAAGGCCAGATTCGACACAAATGCTCAGGGTTGGGCTTGTTCTAAAGGCTCCAGTTGCAAGGCGTATTCCAGTGTGGTGCACGGAGTCGAGCTTGGCTAGAGCATTTTTTCGGGCAGAACCGTAGACAAAACTACCATAATCTATTTTTGCGCCGATCAGAGCTTGGTATACTTTAATCACGGTAGTTCTGTCTGCTCCCCAGTTAGTTCCACTAAGTACTCTCAGAAGCTGAAGTTTTTTAGTACATGTATCTTTGAGTGATTTTATGTGGTGTTCCCAGGATGGACATTTATCAAATAATAATCCCAAGAATCTGCAGGTGTTGACATATGGTAAGATGGCGTCACCTAAAAGAAGTTCTGGCGATTGTGGAGTATTTCGTTTTCTGCTATAGTGAATACATTTAGTTTTTTCAGAAGAGAAACAAAGTCCCGATGATTTCGACCAGCCATCAATACGATTCAGTGCTTCTTGGAGCTTATCTTTTACAGATAGGACATCTTTCGCTCTGTATAGAATAGCAAGATCGTCGACAAAGAGCATTACTTTGATTCCGCGTGGAAGATTTTTTCATAAGTCACTAACCGCCAGTGCGAAAAGTGTTGTACTTAAAACGCATCCTTGTGGTACTCCACTCACTTGTCTACATTGCTTGGATAACAGTTTCCCTATACGGACGCGAAAGCAGCGACTAGAAAGGAATCCTTGAATAAATTTTGGTAAGTTACCTCTGAATCCTAGCGAGTGTATTTTTTTTAGGATAGCAAATTTGTCAGTTTTATCGAAGGCTTTTTTCATATCGAAGTAAACTGCAATAGCTTGCTCCTCTTGGATGAATGCATACTGTAATTCGGCTTCCATTTGAACCAGGTGGTCTACAGTTGATCTGCCTTTGCGAAAACCACATTGGAAGTTTTGGATGAGATGATATTTTTCTAGGATCCATGTGAGTCTCTTGTTTACCATTCCTTCCATTACTTTGCATAGACAGCTGGTTAAAAATATTGGTCGGTAGCTGGATGGATGACGTTTATCTTGACTACCCTTCAATATTGGGACAACTATAGAGTCGTTCCAGCTGCTAGGGAAGTTACCGCTAAGCCAAATATGATTGTAAAAATTTAAGAGCCAGTTCAGTGTATTTTTCGGAAGATGTTGTATCATGGAGTAGTGTACATTATCTGGTCCTGGTGAAGATCCTTTGACAGTTTGGAGTATTGATTGGAGTTCCCACATGCTGAATGGAATGTTGTAATCTTGATATGCATTATCGTCAGAGAAGTTTAGATCTTGAGCCATATTATTTCTACAAGTCGTTGTGTAAACTTCTGAGTAATATTCGGCAAATGTTCTTCCAACAATGTCTGGGTTATCGCATAGTTTTCCATCGCATATCAGAGTATATTTGTAGGAAGAATTGGTTCCTCTTATCTTCCTTATTTTGTTCCATACAACATTGCAGGGGGTAGATGAGTTAATGGACTCAACAAATGATTTCCATAATTCTTTTTTCTTGTCATTTATAATTCTTCTGCAAACAGCCCTTTGTTTTTTATATTCAATGTGATTAACCTGATTCATATTTTTCTTAAATGTCTTAAATGCATTTCTCCGAAGTTGTATGGCTTTCTTGCAATCACTATCGAACCAGGGGACAGGTGTCCTTTTGTAATGGCCTTTGGTTTTAGGGATTGAGAACTCTGCTGCCGTAACTATTGTCTTAGTTATAGATTTACACCCATCATCTACATTCATACTGTTAGGGTGATTTTGAGGTGGGACAGCTAAAGACGTGAATAATGACCAATCAGCTTTTTCTAATAGCCAACGAGGGACGCTGTAATTATTGCAGTTTGCACTTCTGAATTTTAGACGAATTGGGAAATGGTCACTTCCATAAGGCTCTGGTAGAACTGTCCATTCTATATTATCAATCAGTGAGTAAGTGCATAAAGAGAGATCAATGGATGAAAATGTACCAAAGCTAGAACTTATGTATGTTGCTTCGCCGGAGTTTAGTAACAGAGTATTCGTTAAATGTAAGAAAGTTTCTATAATGCGCCCTCTAGGATTTGTGTCTTGTGAGCCCCATAATGGGTTGTGGCCATTGAAATCTCCAGTGTACAAAATTGGCTTTGTCAACTGCCTATGAATATGGAGAAGGTGTTCTGTCTCTATAGTATTGTCTTGGGGTATAGTAATCTGAATCCCAAAGAACATAATAATATGTAAGCCCACAGCTCACAGTGGACTTTGGCATATAAAACAGGTAGGACAAAAATGTACAGCATTTGAATGAATATTGTTAATAAAAATAATTTTTAAAGAGTGAGACGTGTCCAAAAGGTAATTTATAAAATAGATATATTAAAATGTGAAAAAATAATGATTTGTCCTTTTCTTATTTAATATGTAATGTTAAATTTGCAGTATTTTTAAATTGTGGAATGACTTTTCATAAATATTTATAAAATAATTATTGGAAGAAGGTGAGGAATAGATAAGGAACTAAGTAGGAATTTTATTCACCCTGTTGATTTTTCGGGAAATTTATAGATTGTTGTTGTATGTGCTGTTTTTTTAGTAGATATTTGATGTATTTGTCCCAAAACAAATAAAGTATTATTATTATTTAATGTATTGTAATATTTTAGATAAAAAGTTCGACTTAAAAATGGGCAAAGTCGACCTGAAACGTTGTCGAAATAAATAAAATGAAGTGAAACATTGAGAGGATGTCAAAGAGTTATAAAAAATAAATAAATTTTATTAATAAGATTTTCTTTTCTTTGCTTAATATATCTGATTTTTTATCAATTTAATCACCTCCGTCGATAGTCCACTTATAGCTGAATGTGTTGCATGGTCATCTTCTTCATTGCCTAATATGCCGCAGTTGGCTGGAACCCACATGAAGACTACAGAAATATCTCTATATTTTACATCGCACAATATGTTTATTGTTTCTCTAGTTAATAAATTACTTGTGAATGGGTTAGCAATGACAGCCAGAACACGCCAAGAATCCAGCAGTTTTATTGATATTTTTATAGCTTATTTATTTTAATTTTTTTCGGTATATTCTATCCAATAAAAAGCATTCGTGATGGCTGCCACCACTCCGGTTAATACGGATTACTTTCCTGTCAGATAAAACAATTGCTGGTTTAATTTCGATATATATTTTTATATTATATGTTTACATGATTTAGTTGTGTCTATTTTATTAAAAATCGGTAGTTCTAGAAAAAAAATTTGCACAATTCAAGGATTACAAATCATTTCAGTTTTCCTAATTCGAAACTGATAATGTTTCCAGTAATTTAAGATATTACAGTTATTAAAATATCATATATACCTAGTTTTGAAACGTAACTATGTATTTTAAAATGACTACTTTCCAGCAGGGAAAGGAAACTGTTTTAAAATGCAATTAAAGACGCCCAACTTATTTCTAAGCTGGTTTATTACTCACCACTCTAAGGAGCCATATCAAAATACTGTGATATATTTTCTGGATTACTCTCTACTAATGATAATTTGGATTGTTTATTAAAATATTGGTTATTCAACAGATTCTAGTTTACGTGATCTTCTATTCTTCGCCTACAAATACGAGATATCATCTTTTTATGACGAATAGTTTCGTAATATTAACATCATGACTCGAAACATTTTTTTTTTTTTGGACACTCCACAGGTTTCGCTTCTTAGCTATCTAAATAAATAAGATAATATAATTTATAATGATGTTTCTTGTACTTTTATTTTTCGTACATAAGATTGTTTTCTATAACACCTGTGTTAGATAGTTCGAAGAGCTGGTTAATCTATTAAGTGCTCAATTTATTTTTCATTATCCTATTTGTACTTTATTAATAATACCTACCGTAATCCTCTTTAAAGTTTTATCCTTGAAAATTAGGTAGGAACATTAAAAAGTTTCCAAATTAAGGTACAAAGTAATTTTGGATTTCCTGGATGTTTTAGCCTGGAGGCTTTATCAGTTAAGAAGTTGCTTCACTGGTAATTGTTATTTAATGTACTAACTTCAGTTTCAGTTCACATTAATACTTACACCTTAATATTTCACAATCTTTGCGCCAGTATTAAAATTAAATTTTCCTTAAATATAGGTTAAGTAGCATTGAATTGTTTAGGAGTAAAAAATAATTTTCGTTTACACCGCATCTGAGAATTAATTAGATAATTAAATAAACTACCTTACCTAACTTAATCAATACTTTTACAAAAGTATTGTTAGCCAATGAAAATAAAACATCGCCATGACTATTATATATAGAAGTATGTAGATCAATTGATGAGCTAGGTTAGACTAAAATACATTATTAAATGAAAGTACCCTACGATTTGAGAAAAAATAAAATATCATAAAATACAATAAAAAAAATCTTCAAGGGCCTACAATGATTGGGAAGTGGAGATTTAAATAGAATGAGGCTTATTAGATCTTAACCTACAAAGTAAGTAATTATTACTAAAGTTTAAATGCATATTTTTGTTTTAGTATTTCCATACATTAGTATACAGCAGAACAGAGCAATTTATTTCTCTTAACTTAACAGCTTACGGTAGTAGAGGCACGGACCAACTAAGTTCTATATCCATTTTAAAAATAGATAGATTGCATGTCACCATGAGAGACGTGCCCTCGCACCTTGAGATTTCATGGCACCTACGAACAAAGCTTAGAATCGATTCGATCAATACTTAAACAAGTCGCCTACTAACCGAATTAGCAATATTTATAGACCCTGGTTGACGAATACAACAGAGCCCTTTCGATCGCAGTCTCTGCAGGAAGTATGTCTCTCTATTGGTTCTTCGAGAAGGTGGCTCAAGACGAAGAAGCTGCGGGCTTGACATTGCAGAAGGCTCTCTTCAAGCTGTCCGGGGTGTTCCTCTGGGATCCGCCCAACAAGATCAATGCCATTTATCCCATCCTACCTATGTTCTTCATCAACATTGTCGCCATCCTCAACTTCTTACAGGTCTTCAGGTTCAGCATCCGCACGCTGCACGACTTCACTGAAATGGTCCTCACCCTAATAGTGGCACTGGTATTCGCATCTTCCGGATTGAAGCTGATTCTCCTTCACTGGTCGAAGAACTACATTAAAGAGCTTGTCGACTTTTTGGAGTCCTTACCCCGACTAGAGAGCTATAAAAAGGTGAAATATATGGAAGGAGTATGTATGTCATACATGTACATACTGATATTCACGGCTATACCAAAATATTGCCTTGGGATCATGAAAGGAGAGCTACCATTTGAATCAGCTTGGCCTTTCGATACAAAAACGACTGCTGGATGGTGGATTGGTAAGCGCAATAAACTATCTCAGTTCCGATATTTTATGTATTTCATTCCAACAACCAGTTTTAAATTTGATCAGTTCATAACGGTATAATAGGATATTACATGTGATACATCCATAGTAATTCAGAGTGGTTATGCTCAGTTAAGGGACCAAGTAGCATTTTCACGAATTAAAAAAAAAAATACATACTTCAGGAAAAAGTCGTTATTCCTCAGTCTAGGAAAATTTCCCTTACTCGAAAATTCATTTAAAACTTTTCCAACGTTCTACGTGTAATTAGAGCCCAAGTAGTCACCATTTTAGGTATTAGTTCATAATATAATATCTTAATATTAATCTATTAACTAGTCTGTGGACCTGATAAGAGGAAGAGGAATGAATTTGGCAAAAATGTGTTATTGAAAAAAATAGGTAGTGGTTAAGTGTTGCCTTCAAATTTGGGACACTTTCTATATTCAAATTATGGAAATATGATGATTTTTTAATTATAAAATTAATTTCAAGTTACTTTCAAAATTTTACTTACTTCAAAAGTTACTGACTTCACAGAACACAGAACATGAAACCATTGTACTAACCACTTTAGATACACCACTACCATTGATACCACCATCTCTCTCGTTTACTCCTTCACAAGTTGCACAGAAAATCAAACATCAAACATATATATGCGTGAAATACCTATCAACTCCGAAACATTGACCGCCACCTATGCTGATGATACAACAATTTTATCAAAACACCATAATCCTAGCCTCAATAAATTTACAAAATCATTTACTGACTTTACAAAATTGGTACTCACTTTGGAAAAACTTCGATGAGAAGTATGCCCACCAGTTTATATAGGAGAGAACCTAATTCCTCAGACAAACACAGTACGTTACCTGGGACTAATATTCGACAAAAGGGGCCCACACGTCAAAATGAAACGACAGACCTTAAACAAGCGACTGAAAATACTGAACTCACTTTTTTCTAAATTGAAATTGAAAGTTCGACAAAAACTAAATACATACACTTACCAACTCAAATCCATCTGGACCTAAGCCTCTCAGATTTACGCTTCGGCAAAAAAGACGCACTTACAAAAACTAAAAGGAAATTGGATGAAAGATCTCCTCACTTAAATCAAAGTAAGTAATGACCAGCAAGAGATGCTGCTGGGTACTATCCTTCCTCATGCCTTCAATGCCAACCTCATCATCACAACACATCTGCTGATTGTCATTACCATGACAGGTGGGGATAAATAGTTAAAGAGAGAGAAAAAAAAAGTTACTTTTAGATCGTTCGAAGAATTTCAAAAGCACAAAATTAATATTGCTATTTAAAACTAATGAATGACGCATTGATATACTTTAATGTTCTCTTTATAGGTTTATTTTGGGCAACGGGGTAACGCAGTACACCCATATACTCCTAATCCTAGAATCGAGTCCGGTTCTGGCAGAAAATTAGTTATCTTGCGGGATCAACCCTGGATTTGCGATATTCTCTTGGGGCAGCTCTATAAAATCAATGGCCTTATTTCATTAAGTAATTAATAGGAAATAACTGTCGCTGGAGCCTGATCTTGGCCAAATCTTTGCATGACCGTTAGTCTAGAAACAATATTTCCTTACAAAGTACTCAATCCAAGACCATCCATGGACTGGAGCGGTGCATGTTTTTTTTTATAAGTTAATAATCATATATTAAAATATTTTTTTCGTGTTAGTAGCAATTTAAAAAGAGTCTTTAAGTCCAGAGTACTTAGCTAGCATATTTTGAAGGTTCTGTTCCAACCATGGCCACTTTCCCCTTATTTTATAGCCTACAGTACAGACATCCTCTCCGCGAACTTCTGCTGGTTCGCCCAGTCCAGCTTCGATACCCTGCTGGTCATGTCGGTGACTTTGATGGCAAGCCACCTTGCACGGCTCAGGCAGATCTTGGCCAGCGTAGGGAAGGACCCAGCACTCGACGAACGGGTAATCAAGTCGGCCATCAAGCTCCATGTTGATTTGTTGCAGTAAGTACTCCACCACTTTTAACTCTTATTCCACCACCTACTTCATTTTCAAACTTCCGTATCTATGCAACACTTATTGGATTCTGTAATTACAACTGCTCACAAACAATTAATAGACAAGTTTCATTTGATTTTATTTCATTTATTTATTTACTTTTTCTTTTTATAAATGTAGTGTTAAAGTGTTTATTATTGTTATTCAGGTATGATTGCGATAACAATTGAAATTTACATTCAAATGACCTCTTTGTATTCTGACAAACCAGATTAAAGGACCAATGTTTTGTACCATGTTATTATTATTCTTAGGGGACTTTAGTCCGAGAATAAATTATTTTTTCATTTCATAAGTATTTAGATAATTTTTTTGTAAAAAAAAAACAGCTATTCTAAACATAAATATAATACCACTTTTTAAAATAACTTTCATGGATTCAGGAAAACCTTCATTTTGTAAATTAAGTAGCCTTCTTTTTTTTTTTTTTGTTAGTTTCTACCCCACATTGGTGTAAATTAAAAATATTCTTCGAATCTCGAGCGTATTCAGAATACTAACTTTGAGCAGAGGGTTTAAAATACTTAAAAATAAATATAAAAAGCTTCAATTTTCCAGACTATTAACACCAAGTTTTCAAATCGATGAAAAAGGTTTCTCAGCAATGATCATATCGAAGAAGAAAAGTAAATTTTATTCTGGAGCATTTAGCCTGCTAAGAAAAATCGCGATATCTTTTTACTAATAAGGCTCTGATTTCGATGAAACTTTTTTTTGTATTTTAGGAAACTTAAATATCTTTGAAACATTCGATCATAAAGATCACAAAAAGTTGTATAATTTTTTAGTTATTCGGAAATCTAATTTTACCACCGCTTGTAGCTTTTTCCCAGCTTCTTTTCAAAGTATATTATATAGATAAATTTAAATAGCATCGAGAAGAATACTTTAGCCAAGTTTCATTGAAATCGGTGTTTAGACGCTTCAGTCTATACCAACAAAGGTTTTTCGGCCGCCATCTTGAAAGGAAAATGCAGATAGTAATGGTGACATAGGAGGGCCATCCTCGGGTGACTTCTGACTTTGATTCCAAATTTGAAAAAAAAAAAATCGGTCCAGTAGTGTCGGAGAAAATGGGTGGACAAAACATTTTTTATTCGATTTTCGAGTTCTACGTATCCTGAAATTCTAAGTGTTTCCAAGTAAATTCTCAAATTTTGAGGAAGGGGGTTAAGTTTTAAAATTTCGTAGAAGATTACAACGGTTCATTAATGAAAATAATCAACAAATATTTAAAAATCGCAATATTTTTGCTAATTGTGCTCGGAATCGAAGACAATTTCTTCGTTTTTACATAAAACAATCTGTATATAATATAAAATAAAACACACAATACTTGATAAAACATAGAAAACAAAACAGAGGAAAATAAAATCCCAATAAATCCTTAAAATAAATCTTTAGAATATTTACTAAAGCAACCAAATAATTCTTTAGAAATTTCAGTAAAATAATTTGTATACATTTTCTGTCCCTAGCCACTTTCATCCAGTTCGTTCAAACTCTGCGGGTGATTTCTTCAGTGATTTCTCCACCTCATATTTGGTTTCCTCTGCACCTCTCTTGTACTGTTGGAGTTCACTCGGTAATGGTTTTGGACCACCTTTCGAGATTTCCAGCCAATATCTATTTTTGTTTTTAGACTTCCTTACTTAGATGTTTTATTTTCACATTAGGAAAGATACCTCAAATTGTCTTTTTCCTCACATTGTCTTTTTCTATTATTTTACTTCCACCGTACTTCTCAAAAGTTACCTTTGCATTGTCCCATTTTCCTCATTCGTTAGTTCCCAAGTTTGAACGTAATGTAGGATTGCTGGGTAGATATAAGGCTGCAGTACCGTTGCTTTTAGGCCAGTAGTGAAATTACCATCAACGGTTTTTTCTAAGGACGGGGTGTTTAAGGCATCTTATTTTAATTCTGCTATCCTTTGACGGTTAAACCACGCCGAACTGAGTAAACTATATCCGGTTAATGTAATTGAGCTGATTATATTGCGGTGAATGAAATGGGCGTGTAAAAAACACACGAACCTAATCCATCTACATTTGATCACTAAGCAGCCACCACCAAATTGTCAGTACTGCAATAGCCTTCTCACTATCGATCATATTTTCCAGGAATTCACTTATTATACTTCAAGCCTAAATCGGTTATCTCTAAAACCGAATATATCAGCAGTATTAAGCAACAACGAATCAAACATAAAAATAGTGATCAAATTTCGTAAAATCCATAGGCTATTAAACAAAATATAAAAATAAATATAATTTTTATTTTATTGTTATTCTTTTTTTTATATTTATTATAATATGTTTCATCTTTTATATGTATTCAAATATCTTTTTATTTATTAATCTATCTATTATTAATTATTCTCTAAAGAGTTTACAAATATAACCGACTCACAGGCGTTGATGACCACAGGGTTTTACGCCTTAAAGCCTAAACAAACAAACAAACGTTAATTGAGTTAGGTCTAAAACTTTTTTTTTTTCTTACGATCATAATATTTGCTCTAGTTAAGATGTTATTTCCATCGCATACGAATAAATAAAATAAAATATAGCGGTAATGAATATAATGCTATGACTGACAGGGGATGAGGGTAGAGCGGTAAATAACGGCGGACTGTCGTTTTGGATTGACGGTCCCCAATATATCCACCTCATTAGGGCCTTCATGTCAGCTCCTCTATGGCCTATCTCATCCAACATTCATTTATTCAATATCTTTTTTCATTCATCGATATTTTTTCAACATTGAAAGTAGCTTAGGCTGTTTTGGTTTATATGAACAATTGCACACATACCCATGAGCGAATTGGATTGTCTTTGAATATTACGTTCTACTATACAAGTGAAGCCAATTTTGTTGCAATTCTCTAATTTTTTCAATTGATCGTTTAAAATTACATTTCTAACGGTTCAGACAAAGTGGCATCCCAATTTTTCCAGCTATGCGTATCTTATAGACTATGAGGTACCGTCGTTTTCATTTAACGGAATGACTTAGAACTATAAAACATTTTAAGTTATATGAGCCGTTTATTTTGAAAGTGGCCTTACTCCGTTTTTCAATTTCTTGCCAGTTACCATGGTTACATGTACAACTTCATACTATATATCAGTAAAACATTTCAGATTGCTTATATTCCGAGCAAATACGATAAATTTTTGACACATAAGTTTTCAGAATCAAGATATTTACTATTGATAATGTTGGAAATGAAAATTTTATTGTAAATGAAATGAGACAAAATTATACAAAAAAGGATAGAAATATCAACAAAATTATTAGACGCAATTTTTAAAATGATAAAGAATTCTGATGGAGAATCAGTAAACTGGTTACAAATAATTTGGATGCGTTTTATCAGAAATGAACCGTATAAAATTTTTATAAGACAACAATGAATGAGAATGAAAATTTTAAAGTCCTGAATTTATTACCACGTCGGGGTAGACCAAGAAAATTCGAAAATATTGTATCGACTCCACTCTATAAAAATATCAGACAAATTACAACAACAAAATTTAAGGACATGATTGACTTATTGGGATATATCATGACTACTTCAAATCCCTTTCAAACGCGCAAAATGTAGATGAATAGTAAATTGTTTGTTAATAAAATGTTTTTAATTTTGTATGTTCTGTAATTGAAAAATGTTTTGAATCGCATAAATTGTTTTTCCGAAGTGTTTCAAAGGCATGTAAAATAAATTGAGTATTGTGTTTTTCAATTTGAAACATCTTAAATTATGTTGAATGGACTTGGGTACCTTCAAATTTTATAAAGAATCTGGTTGTTAATTTTAAAAGTGGCCTAACTCCATTCTTGATAAGAAAACGCACATTATTCACTTAATAATTGTTACTATTTTAAAAGGAACCATACATTTAACACCCTTAGATACACTTAAGCAGTATGACTCAATTGCATCCTATACGTATATTTTTTAATTCATTGAAACGCAAACCCTTAAATATCTCGATTCGAAGATAAATGGAGGTAGGCCACTTTCAAAATAAACGTCTTATATATAATCCTGACCTGAATACACAACTCCGGTCAGTCGCTTGAAAGCCGTTGCTTTATATAAGAAAATGTAAATTTAGATGCTGTATTTGACGGTCTGAAATTTCGATATGAAGTCAAGAATAAGTCCCTAATAAATAATTCACCTTAACTGACGATGCGCTCTGTTGCATTTTGAAAACTGACGCGTCAAAGTCATCAAATTAGGCCAGTCGGAAGGTAGTTTAATGAGAAAAAATTCAAATCGTCAGTTTTGGTATTTTCTGTTTTTTGGATTGCTGAATCTGAATTTGATGTTCCCGAACGAAATTTTCAATTTCGTTCCGAGATATATGCATAAAACAGTGAAGGTTCTTTTTAGTTTTTTGGACATGATTCCGAAACGATGCATTTTATCGAAATTATTACTATGTACAAAGTTAAAGAAGATAAAATTTGCTATCAATTGTATACGTAGCTTGTTGATATTTGCCCAACGGGTAAGGAGTTAGAGAATATTGACTCTATGCTTATTTCAGAAGAAATGTCTGTCTTCATCGGTTTTTCCCCCTAAACTAAAACCTATATTTCTCTCGAAGAAATTCACTATAATCAATTTGAAAGAGCATTAAATTTCCTTATTAAGAGAATTTAAGAGATTTGCATTGTCTGTCATAGGTAGGTCAAAAGTTCTCACACTAATTTTAATTGGATAATATTTGGATTCAACAAAGGGAAAATTCATCAAATTATTCCTTACTTACTTTAATTTCCTACAAGATTATATGACGATTTTTACCGGGTTAAACGGACGTTGATATCTAATTATTTAAATATAATATCAGATCTAGAATGATTAAATCACAGTAAATGTATTTAAGGTTATAAACATATGCTTTATACTTCCATGAAATATTTTTTGGTTTATTATTTTCAATTAAAAAACTTAACACCCGCAAAAAATTTGATGTTTTACGTTTCAGAATACGTAGAATCCGAAAAATGAATAAAAATTCTTTTGAGTCATATTGAATATTTAATAGTTGACCGTTGCATTATAAAGGAAGGAGATGGTCCGGGATGGCGGTCATAAATAGGCTAAATAGTGGTAAAACTATTTTTATTAAAAGTCAACGTTTCGACCCGACTTTGCAGGTCTTCTTCAGGGCTAGAACGGACAAGATACAAAAAGATAGAGAATTGTGGAAGTTACATAATATTTAGACAAAAAATTATAAATAATGTGAATAAGCTTATTAAAATTATAAACAGTAAGTACATTAAAATATGAACAGAGTAAGCTAAGTAACAAGATCCTAAACTGAAGTAAATAAATGCTAACAATTGTTGTAGTGAAATATATAATAAATGCATGTAGTTATAATATGAATATAATATATAATATAGTAGTTATATGCATGTATAATGAATATGAATAATATGTAGTTAAAAGGTAGTATAAAATATAAAAGGTAGTGTAAAATTAACATAAATATGTGTACTTGTATCATGAATAATATCAATAAATAGATATGTGTATTCACTACATATTATTACTATTACCGTTTATTAATTTCTCATATGTTATATAGTCCTTTCTTAGCCCTGACGGATATCTAAAACTCAGGCCGAGGCGTCGATTACGAAGCAAATATAATATATTTATTTTTACTTAGTTGTTTCTTTGACTGAACACTTCATCTTCTATTCAAGACAATTTTTAGTTTGTATTTTTTTTTTTTATAACATATCTCATCGCATACTTGAATTTGATTTTGTATTTAATTTATATATAAAGAATTAAATATAGGTTGGTTCATATAAATCAAACTATTGTCCAAAGTAAATTCAGCTTAGCGAAAATCTACAGTTTTGACTAGCGAGATGAGATTGACTTTTTTATCATATAATTATCTTTTTGTTATTATTTTTTTTTACTTTATCTTTCTTTGATGGCATTTATAGTAAAAAATTCCAATAAATATAATAAACTAATAACTAAATATACATTTACATATTAACAATGATATTATTAATTTAGTTCACATTTTTTTAGTGGAGCCGACTTGGTAAATAGTTCTTATGGGATTCTAATCATGTTCCAGAGCCTATATGCCATTGTTCATGCAGTTATAATAATATTTTACCTGGTGAAGGTGAGTATTAATAGTCAGTTCATTCTCAATAAAATACTTAAAGTCAGAATTAGAAATCGATAATTATCTGTTTCCACAAAATCATTTATTAATTATTATTTATTTTTAATTTAAAAGTCATGCATGGTTTTTAATATTTAATATGCTTGAGTAATATATTTTTAAATCAGAAATATAAATTTTTTGTAATCTTTATGATATATTTTGAGTCTGGAGTAGTTGGTGGAGAAGATTGTTGTCAAATGTTAGCTTATATATACATAAATATCGTGCAGGTATAGTGGCGATTTAGAAAATATAATATTTAAAAACAATGTATATTAATAACGTGTACATATAGTCTGTGGCACTGGCCCCTTTTTATCGAAACATGACCATCCGCCTGAAACTTCGTAAATAGTTTCATCTCATCGTACCTACAAGTATTTTATTTACGAAAGCTTTGAAATTGAGGCATTTTAATGT